TTTTCTAAAAGCAAGTTCTGTATATTTAATTCTTTTTGCTCTATATTGTCTTAATTCTATATGTATTGCAGCTATTCATTTTTCTGCTTGTTCTGCATTTTAAATTTTTTTCTAGAATTTTTTATAGCCTCTTGCTCCATATGACTATTTGGTTATTATATTTGTATATCTTCTTTTTTTTCATTCATCATGTGTTTTTTAATTTGTTTTCTTTGTTTATTCTTTATTACGTGTTGTGTATATTGAATAACAAAAACTAATCTGCATTACAGGGTTAAGGCCAATCTCTCAAATAACTTGCAAAGAGCAAGCTTTTTGATAATTTTTTAAGTTTTTCTTCTATATTTTAGTTGTTTCTGTTTTATTTACTCTAGTCTTTTAAGAGACTGAGTGTTGTTTTTGGTCTTCTTGCTTTTTTCTTAAAGCTACAAGTCTTGTTTCCTATTGCCAGTTGTGTATTTTTTTGTTATTTTGTTACTGTGTTTTTGTATATAAAGGATCAGTAAGAAGAGTTGTTATTATTTTATTTTTGGTTAATACTATATATTGTGCTAATTATTTTCAATTTATTGAATATATTAACTACTATCTTTTCCTTTTAGGTGGGTATAGATTTCTCTTTGCTATTTCTTTATTTCTTCATATTGAATTATGTCTCTGACTTTGGTGAATACTATATATTATGCCAATTGTTTTTAATTTCTTGAATATATTAACTAGGCAGATAAGATTTTTCTTTATTGTTTCTTTGTTTCTTTATATAAAATTATATTTTCAGCTTTAGTAAATACTATATATAGTCAACTTTCACTAAATGTATTATACTAAGACCAGACTTTTATAATATGTATTAAGAGAACAATTAAGAAAAATGTATTTATAAAAATCAAATATATATATAGGCTTCAAATTTAAATCTGCATTTAGAGTGCTAATATTTAAGAGCTCAATATAGCCCCCTTTTTAAATTGTCAATTGACTATTCTCCAGGATATTAGAGTCAGTCATTTTGACAATTATAAAAATTAAAAAGGTGAATAATATTTTCACACACCTTTTTTGATATTTCCACACCAATGCAGATTACTTTTTTTAAAAACCTTAATCGAAAGTATCTCAACAACTACCTGATAAATTTAATAATTTTTTTATTAGAATTTTACGAGTCTGTAGATTCAAATAAAAAAAATTCATTAAAATTGACCAGATGTTTATCAAGATAGCTTTAATCAAAGTTAAAGAAAATTTTGCTGTAGTTATTATTTTAATAGACATTATATTTTTTTTAAGCCTTTGATCAAAGGTATCTCGATGACTACTTGACCAAATTCAGTGAATTTTTTTTATTTGAATTCTATAGAATCATAGAATTCTAATAAAAAAAAATTTTTATTGAATTTAGTTAAGTAGTTGTCAAGATACCTTTAATCAAAGCTTAAAAAAATCTAAAGGTCTATCAAAATAATAACCATAGCAAAATTTTTTTTAACTTTGATTGAAGGTATCTCTAACTACCTGACCAATTTCAATGAATTTTTTTTATTTGAATTCTACAGACTTGTAGAATTCTTATAAAAAAAATTTATCGAATTTGGTTAGGTGGTTGAAAAGAAATCTTTACTAAAAGTTTTAAGAAAAGTAATCTATATAGAAGTGTGGAAAGATCAAAAAAAGTGCATAAAAATATTAGTTATCTTATAAAAATTATAAAATTTTGCATATTTTATATTCTCTTTGCATATTTTATATACTTCTTGCATATTTTATACACTCTTTGCATATTTTATGTATGATTATGCATGATTATGCAAAAGTACATAAATATGCAAAGTGTGTATAAAATATATAAAAGATGAATATTTTATGCACACTTTGCATATTTATGCAACCTTGCATATTTATGCACTTCTTGCATATTTATGCATAATCATGTATAAAATATTCAAGGAGTGTATAAAAATGTAAGAAGTATATAAAATATGCAAAAAGCATATAAAATATACAAAAATTATATAATTTTTTTTAATTTTTGTAATTGTCAAATAATTGATTCTAATACCTTAAAGAATAGTCAATTAATAATCTCCAAGAGGACTATATTAAGCTTTTAAATGTTAGCTTCCTTAGAGAGAACATGCATTTAGAAAACATGTATTTAGATAAAGTTAACTATATTATACCAATTGTTTTTTAATTTTTAGAATTTATTAACCAGGTAGATACAGATTTTTCTTTATTATTTCTTCATTTCTTTATATAGAATTATGTTTTTGGTTTTGGTAAATACTATACATATTAACCAGATAACATTTCTCTTCATTATTTCTTCATATAGAATTATATTTCTGGCCTTGGTGAATACTATATATTGTATCAATTGTTTTTGATTTTTTGAATATATTAACTACTATCCTTCTCATTTTAGATAGGTTCTGCCTTCTTTTCATTACTTTTTTATATAAATTTATATTATTAGCTTTGAGTTACTACTGTCATTATTTGGAGCTTGTGTAAAAAATTGTTTAGTGCTTAGTTGGATTGTTAGTGATAATTTAAATATATTAGCTTTATAATTGTATTATTTGCTATATACAACAATTTTAAATCTGTAATAAATTTTTTTTTAAAAATAAAAATAATAAAATTATATAATTTGAATCATATAATTAAAGTTGTATTGTGATATAATAATTTTATTGATATTAAGTAGATATCATATAAATATTATTAAAATATATACTAGTTGAAATTTTTGTAAAAATTCTGTATATAGGTTGCAGAAATTTGCTAATATATATCAAGCTAATAGATTACAAATATGCATCAAATTGCAGTGAGCTATTAGATAGTACCTATTAGACAAATATTATAAGATATATATGATCTTTATTAGACCTATTAGCTTACTGATAGGTATTCAAAATTTTATTATTAGACTTGTGAGTATTATTTTTTATTATAAATTTTTGTAATTTTAATAGATTAAATAAAGCATTATAATTAGTTACTGTTTTAAATAATATAGATAGTAAAGAAGACATTATTTCATTATTTCTTTATCAAAATAATATATTTGTGCATAATAAATTTTACAATTATTTTGAACTAATTGATAAGCTTCACTAATAATAATAGCAATTTTATAAGAATGTTTCTATATCAATTCTTGAAATTAAATTATTTAAAGATAAATTAGCTCTAATTTATTTTAAAAGATTTATAAATATCATACATTTTTATTTCAATATACAGAAATATATTCATCTTCTATAGTTGATATAAATTCAAGAGTTTTATAATTTACTACTATGACAATATATTACTGGATACAATATAAGCACCCTAGTATAAAAAATAGTATAAATAAAATATAAAAAAGCAATCAATACATGACCTAATTTATAGTTACACAAAAACTTATTCCTGACTCAGATTTTTGTAATTAAAAAAAAAGACAGAGTTAGTTATTTATATATACTATATATAATGCATATTGTAGTTTATGGCATAAACATAGTATTTTTTACAAACCACTTCAGATTAGAAATATATAAAGCTAAGCCAGCATTAAGTCAATACTAATTACAGTATATAGCAAAATTTTTAGTGATAGTAGTGAAGTTGAACAATTCTGGCACAGCTAACTAGCACTCTAATGCATTTTAACTGAGATTTTAGTATTTTCCTGTGTATATTATTATTATATAAGTATATACATCTATTTTATTTATAACCTGGCCTCATATTCACATAAATAAAGAACAATACATAATACTTATCCTCACTCAAAGCTAAGCTAACCTAACAACCCCTAACTTAAATACAAGTTTGTGTTAATTGTATATATATATGTATGTACTCAAATACTAATTCATGCTTATCAATTGTAATGTATATATATACAACTATATTAGATATACAATAAACAATAATATTAAATTACTATTAACAGAGTAATAGTTATTGGATCATAAAACTTCAATTATGCATACACTTTCTTGCAGCTATATATGTAGTAAGATCTTTTTATCTAATACAAGACTTAATATAGTTTTAATCTTACAAATTAGATATCAGTACATACTATATATTCATAAATGAAATATATAACCATTGTCAATATTATCTAGCAAATTCATTTAAAACATCAAACTGTAAAAACAAAGAACTCTAAACATTACAGTTTTTTTAATACTGCCTATAATTTCTATATTTTTTACAATATTATTGTTTTCTTTTATTATTTGTTTTATGTGATGCTTTAAGTTGTTTTGTGCTTACTGGTCTTCTTTTGCCTGCTTTCTTTTAGAATTTTGTAGTTGAAACATTTCAGAAGTAAAGTTTTCTTTATCTCTTGTAGAATCTTCAACTTGACTGTCTTTACTAGATAATTCATCATCATTCTCATCATTAAATTCTTGCAATACTTCAATTAAACATCTTGAATTTGATTTTGATTGTAAAGCTTTTTGTATAGCTTTCTTATAAATCCTGTTAAAAGTACTATATAGAACCTTTTGTTTAAGGATATTTATTCTTTGCTTAGTATGATTTATTTTCTCTTTGTCATTTGCATACAAGGTTTATCATTTTCTTGCTAAAAATTAGCCATTTTATTATAATATTTATCAGCAATAATAAATGGTTTAAGTGATGCATCCTTGTCTTTCTAATACCAACAAGACAGAATTATTCTAATATAAAACTTTGCTTTACTACTATTTAACATAATCTGAAAATAGTGTTGACAAATAATACCCTGTTAAACGATTGTAAGACATGAACACAAATGTGTTTTATTGTTTAATAAAACAATATAGCATTCACCTTTAATGAATTTCCAATCTTGATTTCTCATATTTCATTAATGTTATCCTGTTCAACTACATTCAATAATTGTTGTATGGTAACTTTAGGTCTATTGATATAGTTATCTTCAACATCTGACATAATTTTAGCCTCATTATCAAATATAATATTATTATTAAATATAATATTCTGAGAAACTAAATATACATTATAATAAAGAAATTGATTAATTTCGTTGTGCTGTATTCTTAAAATAGTTGGTGCTAAAAGTTTTTGGCAGCACTTGTCAACCTCAATAAATAAAAAGTTTGCTTGCTCAATATTTTTGACCATTGGTATAGCAAGTTTCTAATATCTATATTAATTTTGCTTATTTTTGCAGGTTAAATAATTTATGTATTTCTTGTATAAGTTCACAAAATGAAATGTTGGAGTTATATTACAACCTTTTAAAGCATGCATTAATGCCTTCAACTTTTGATGTTGAAATCATATCCCTCATAAATTTAAAACATATATATGAATAGGCCCAATACTCTTTTGTTTGATATAAATTGTCTAAATAAGACTTACTCTTAGAATAGTTATTAATTAACTTTGTAAATTGATCGTAAAAGGTAGTTTGAACTAAACTATTTTTATATAAATAGAAGTTCTTGAGAAAACTACTATTCTGACTTCTAATTAAACTTTGAAGATTTTTATGAAGGTTTTATATAATGTAAAACACGCAATGTATTGAAATATTGTTAGGAAAATTTTTTACTGCAGCATCAACTGCAGGATCTGAATCTATTATAATTACTGTTGATTAAATATTAGTTGCTTTGAGAATTTGTTTAAAAAACCAAATATGGGAATATTTACTTTAATCTGTGACTAGCCCTTGCACAAGAAAAATATTTTGCCTATTTCTATCAAATCCTATAAACAATGACAAGGGCATCCTATATCTATTTGTCTTATATATAATGTTATTTATAACACAATCACTAAATAGTATCCAATTTTTTACCTGAGCTGGTGTCATTTATATCAGATATGTAAGCGTATTATCATCATCCCAACCTTGGGTCTTTTTCTTTTTGATTATTACAGCATTATTCAAGAGATACTTGTTAATAGGTCAAAATTTCTAATAGCAGCATATAAATCATTATTATAAATAGATTGAGAAGTGTATTTACTTTTTAATAACTTTTCTGAGCTGTTGCAACCATTCCACAGTGTTGAGTCAAGAATTTAATGTCATCTATCATTTCTTTAGTGAATCTTTTTCTATGTTTGAATATAATACAGTAGCATCAACATTTAACTCATATTTATGATCATTTTCAATTTTATTAATAAAAACTTTAGAACAAGAAGCATTTACATGCTATTGGTATTACATTTTTTTAATATTTGTTTTTTTATTAGAGCTGAAGTCATAATACTGACCGTGTTGACAAACATAAGTTCTTCTCTTAATAACACTATTTTTATAAATAACATGGTCTTTTACAACATTAAATCTATTATTTTTTTCTATTCAATAATAAATAAATCACATATTGACCAGTTTGATAATACTTTTCTAGTAAATAACCCCAATGTGTCATTTTCTGATTTGCTGATAGCAGCATTTTCTATATGTTTAAGATTTCTGTCATTAGTCAGATTGCTATCAAGATGTTATGCAATTGTAGTAGCTATATTTTCAAAGAATCTGGCTCTCTATATCTTCAATATTGTCTCTCCAATTATCAAGGTTGTTTGTGTTCTTTATATTTTCAGTGTTATTTATGTTGCTCTTAAAATGTTTTGTATTCTTTTAGTACCACATATATTGTTATTCAGCAAAAACATATCAGCTTTTTCAATTTGTTATTATGTTTATGTAATATAAAGTTATCTCTATTTTTTATAAACACACTTGTTAAGTGAATAGGTTGTGAATTAAGCAAAATAATGATAGACACTCATAAATAAATAGTGCAGATATTTAATAAAGCATTTTAATAATAAAAAGTTTATTAACAGAGTTTATAGTGAAGAGTTTATTAACAGAAAGTTTGTGCCAAAGTGTTAAGTAATGGTTTGTTAGTAATGAAAGTAATAAGAATTTAAAAACTAGAAGGATAAAAGAGTTTAGTAACAGTGAGTTTAATGAAGAGTTTAGTAATGGTAAGTTAGTAATTAGTAATATAATAATGAAGAATGCAGCAAAGAGTATAGCAATAAGTATAAATAAAGAGTTTAAATTATTCTTACTATCAATTATATCATAGTTTATATCAATTATAAAGTCAATAGAATTATACAATGCGATATTAAAAATTAGGTTCACTCTGCTCGATCTACTGTATCTTATATTTTAAGATTGATTATATTATTGTTTGTTTATACCAATCATTCTAAGAGTGCAATTGTAGAATTGTGTAATAAATCTTATATAATTACTCCTGCATAGTACCTATTATAAACAGCATTATAATGCATATGCAATAATTACATAGGCGACAAATTATTAAATTTTAAATTCAATTCTTAAGTCAATTTTTGTTAATTTTTCAAATTAAAATATAAATTAGAAAAAGACGATTTCTATTTATACACTATGTGTATATACACATAGTCATGTAACCATATTTTAAATTAGTATTACTGTCACTTTCACATAATGATCTACAACAGATTAGTCAATAATTAATACAATTTTGATGTAATGCAACATGATTACAAAGGTTCAAAATAAACGTTAATTTTGTCAAAAATTGTTTATTTCTCAAATATTCATATAAGAAACTGCCTTTTATGCACTAATAAAAAAATTTTTTTGCATAATTTTACTATACTATCTTTTTTTTCTAACATTAATTTAAATGCTAACTCTAACATATATAAACTTAACCATTTTTTTAGTAGTCACGTAAAAGTGCATTTTACTGAGAAGATACTACATTATAGCAATATTACATATATTATTCTAAAGTGCTATTGTGAAATAAAATTTCAAACATTTAAAAAAACCAACCCTAACCTTAATTATATAACCCTAACTGCTAAGTCTAATTCTACTTAAATTAATAACCACCAATAAAATAAAGCAAAAAGCTACTAGTAAAGCAAAGCTTGAAACACAATGACAGATCAACTACAATTTACCACTAACAAAAAACTGATGCCCAAACTATCAGTAAATAAAGCTCTGGCAAAAACTAAATCTAATAAAAGACAAAATCCTGATAAATAGCAAAACTCTGGGTTCCAATTATTTACTCAACATTTATTTGCCTGACAATTACTTTTTTGACTACCATTTGCCTGACAATTACTGCTCGACATCTTCATTTGCCCAAAAATCATTTGGCCGACACCTTTTTTTAATTTATAATCACTTTCTTAACATTTTAAAGGTGTAGAGCAAATGATTTTCAGGCAAATGAAGATGTTAGGCAAGTAATTGTAGGGCAAATGGTTGTTAAGAAAGTAATAGTCAGCCAAATAAATGTTGGGCAAATAATTGGAACTCCAAAACTCTAATTAAAGGTGAAATTCTGATAAATAACAAAATCCCTGGTGAAGTCAAATCTCTCAGCAAAGATCAAATTCTCAAAGACATTGAAAAAGACTAGATGAATATGTGTAGCTATTAAGTATAGCCAAAAATAACATAGCCATGAAATCATACCATTTATGTGACTCACACAAATAATGATATGCTAATATAACTACATAACTTTATTGAAAAAAAGAGCTTTAATATATGAGTACTATCAAAAAAAAACCTGGAATTAGGCTTTCAATTATATTTTTTGTATAGTTAGCTATCTATTAATTTGATAGATAGCTAACTATACAAAATATGAAGGGACAGAAATTAGGTGATTTCAAGTTACTAAGAGGCTATACCTCCTACCCACCACCTGATTCAAATATTAGTCAATTAAATTTACTACAAAATATAGGACCTGATCGAATCACAAACCTCCCACCCTCTAAAAAATCAGCTGATTTTTGTTTCTCCTCTAAGTTCAAATATCAGCAAACAATAACACTAAATGATAGCACAATAGCAAAAGAACCAATTAAAAGCACCAAGCAATAGCACCAGCAAGCAAGAGCAAAAGTTAATAAATACTAGCAAAACAAAAACAAATCAGCGAGTTGAAAATTTGCCAACACCGCAAGGAATATCACCAAACAATAGTACAGACAATCAAGAGCAAAAATCAGCAGGTATTAGCAAAAAGCAAAAGATACAAAGTAACGAATTAGTAAAAGCAAAGGCACAAAGTAATGAATTAGCAAAAGCACAAAGTAATAAATTAGCAAAAGCAAAAGCACATACTAGCAAGAGCAAAACCACCAGTAGAATGACCAAAATGTCAAACTATACCAATGATATATAATTATGAAAGTACCAACAATGACACTTATGATGATACCAGCAACTATATTAATAACTAATACTAATTCGTAGATAGTAAAATAAAAAAAAAAACTAAAAACTATATAAACAACAAATACTTATTTTTATATATTAATTCATAGAACAAAATTTCACATCATATAACCTATGTGTATATACACATAGTATAATTTAAGAAATTTTTTTAAAAAAATTATTTGTAATATATGGGGTGCGGACAATAGAAACAGTCCATTTTTACATTTTTTTGAAAATTAAGTTTTTATTAAATTCATATAAATTTTGACATGATTAACATTTTTTAATTATAAATGAAAGTCAATTTGTATAATAAAAAATCAAGATAATGTAAAAGGAAAATTACACAAGGCTTCGTAGAGTTAACACATCACGAAATTATCTGATAGTCACCTGCTACCTTTAGCCAATCAAAATTGTGAAATTTGATTAATCCCAAATCAGTCCAAAAATCAAAACAAATAATTAAACTCAATTATCTCAAAATAAGATAAATGTAAAAATGGGCTTTTTCTATTGTTTGCACCCCATATTGTAAAGATTTATTTAATGAATTTTTTAAAGTATATAAAGATTTAAATTTAATTGTAGGGTGTGGCGACTTAGAGTAGTGGTTAGGTTGTCACTTCCCAATGTCAGGTCTAGAGTTCGAATCCTACCGGAGATGTTTTTAGAAAAATAGGCCTTTGTTCTGGTAACAATTATTTGACAATCAGTTGGATATATCACCTGTAATCTTGGTACTACTATCTCGAAATAGAAGCTCTTGGGCAATCCAAATCCAAGGAACCAGAATAATTGAAACCCGTTTGGCAAGACCCAAGTAAGTAGGTAGTAAAGATCTTCAACAATACTGTGGAAAGTCAGAAACCAGAGACCGAAGAACCGGACGAATTCTCTGAGGAAAGAAGAGTCCACCAACCTGGCTGCTGGAGTCGTACTGGAGGAAAAGGTTCTATACTATGGAATTAGAAACCAAGGAAAGTAAAACTGGAAGGTACTTAAAGCCTAGGTATAACAACCCATCTAGGCTAACTGGTTTTGTAGTTGGGGAGGGATTGGTATAAGGACCGGCTTGACGTGGATATCAGGATTGGAACAAATCTTGCAAGAGCACCAGATACTAGAATTGTGTGGTTTAATAGTTCACCCTAACTGCTAGTGGTGTTTCAGCTGCTGCAGAAGATATCTGTAGCCTAATCTGGAAGTGCATGGAACATAAAAAGATTAGGAGATGTACTACACCCTCCCTAAGGTAACTCAGTATATAGGTCCTACTAGATTACCTATAGAATTAGAATGCAAGTAGTATAGCAGATATCAATCTGGTGGTCTTTAATAAGAAGCAGCATGAGGTTATGGATTGGTGTGATTGTGGTGGTGGTGCAGTATGGAAGATGTCAGAGGATTTAAATAGGTAATCTCCTAGTTAGGTTACAGGTATGGCATATAGTGTAGAACCTTCGGGCAGACTACTTAAATTAGGAGACCAAAAGTTGCACATGTGGTTATATGTACTCTCGCTAACCAAGAATGTACTACTAAAATATCTAATAAAAAATCCACCCTTCTGTGACATTGCAAAGGTATAAAAAAAAAAATTTAATTGTAAGTTTTAAAATTTTGGCATAAATATAGAAAAAATTTTTTAAAATTAAATAAATTAAAATTATAATTAATAATTCTAATTATAATAATAGATAAACCTTATAAATATTTTAGTTGAAGACTAAAGAACTATAAATAAATGAATTAGACTTTTTTGATAAATATAATAAGTATCAAAAGAAGTAGGATAGTGTTGTAAAACATCTTTAGGACAAATTATTTTTAAAGCAGAATAAAATTTTATTATACCAAGTTTTTAAAATTTTATTACTTAAAAAATTCAATTTTTTAGAATTAAAATTAAACATTTTTTGGCTTAATCTTTCAAGCTACATGAAAATTTCTTGAAGTACCTCTATAGTGTTATTTTAAATTACAAAATAATTTTTTTATTACTAAAAATCATTGTAATTTATATATTGCATATGTTGTATATTATGCGCTATTTATAATT